TCTGACAAACTAATGATTGAATCATTGTGTGTGGGCTTTCCGAATAAACTTTTACAATGATATAAATATATATTTTTTTAAATAGTTGGACATCATATTTAAGTTTTTTCGTCGAAAATTTATATATAATGATTTCCAATAAGCAAAAATTATACTTTTTCCATTTGAAAAAAATGACTCTATTTTTTTTTGTCTATTACAAAAAGAATGATTTATTTTCTTTTTCGACAACATTTTAACTTTAACTTTAACTTTCTACATGACATGTTTAAGACCACAAGATTAAAAGGTATGTTGGTACATTTGACATAACATTAAATTAGATTTACAAGATTAAAAAATTTTCTTTCTTTTCTTAAACTTCATTCCAAGTCAAACTAGATCAATTTTTTTGAAACGAAGAGAGTATTCTTTATATTCTTATTTACATCTCGCTCTTACTAAATAAATATGTTCATTAATACTTGTTATTTCAAACCAGTGCACAAATAATATTACTTTTCCTATTTGACCCTTAAGAGTTATTAGCTTTGAAAGTGTGCATTTAACCAAGTTAAAAAAATTAAGTTATTAATTCATGTTCGTTTATTAAAAATATGACGTTTGAGTACAAAATTAATCCAAAATAGATAACGGCACATTTGTTAAAGAGTAGTATTTAATTTGTTGTAATATACTTTATTTTATTTTTAGCAAAATATAAATTTTAATTTCTTTCCAAAACTCATTTATCCTTTTGCCAAAGTGAAGCATATGGCAGTGTTGCCATAATTTTTTTTCTTCCGAACATAAAATCTATCGTTGCTATTCTTTGGATCTAAACTTTCGCAATATATATATATATATATATATATATATATATATATATATATATATATTATTTGTCTCTATTTACTAGAGTTTTTATCAGATATACCTATTAACAAAATAATAATTGACAATGTGAATTTATCATTTATCTCTATTAATTGATAAAATTCTAAAATAAATTTACTTATTAAAGATGTTCTATATTTTTCAAAATCATTATATCTCTAAATAAATTGGGGATATAATAAATAAAAAATATTAATTTTTTCTTAATTTGTCAAAAATGACAAGTAAAAAGTTAAAATTGAACTAGTAAAAAAAGACAGAGGAAGTACTAAACGATCAGATCGACAATTAAAAGTGAGATATACAACAATATTGCCATGTTGAATTTTTTTTATTTATGATAAAGAAACCTACAATCACGATCCTTTGAGGTCCACTCTTATATAATAGGATGAAAATTACACAAAAGAGCATCATTTGAAATTCTTTCATATTAATTAATACTTCTCTCATCTCAATTTAGGTAATTGTATGACATTGAACTTAAAGTTTAGGAGTTTACTTTTATATGGCTTATTGTTAGGCATTATGTAACATTGATACTCGTTGTGAGTATTTTAAGCTATTTTACTATAATGAAACGATTAATTTTTTTATAAAAAAAAAAACACAATAAATTTTGTGTGATCCAACTATAATCACTTTTTTGTACAATCAAAAATATTTATATTCTCTTGATAGTTCTCGTGAGTGTTTTGACCAAGACAAAACCTAATTATTTGTCTGTAATTACTCTTTAATTCACTATAATTAGAAAGTTCTAAACAATTTTAATTTCCTCTAATTTATTTCAATTTTATATATTCTTCCTCCTATGAAAAATATTTTGTCCCTTTGCATCACGACCTTCCTAAATAGGGAATAAATTTCAATTTTTGTTTGAAAATACTTTCAAAAAGTCATCATTGATTAACTCACAAAGAGTAAAAAAAAGATCAGTATATTTCTTTTGCTTTAATTATCTTACTATTTTTATGGTTCATTTAATTTGTGTAAAGATAAAAAAACATTTATTATATAGAGTATAATTATGGGCTGATTAAGAGTATAATACTAGTGTTTGATAGATTAAGTAATTAAGAACATTCCTTATTATATTATTGTGCAATTTAATTAGTTGATTAAGTGGAAAATTATTATTCAACGGAAGAAGTAGTATTTTATGAATTTGTCCTTTGCATCATGAACCTTTGTTGTTATCCACTAGAAAGAAAAAAAATGCTGTTTATAGCAACATGTTGCATATGATACAAGCAACATTTTTTTACTTCCTATGCAAACTTTTAATTAGTGCAAATAGTTCTATTTATTTGATTATTTCACTATTTTATTGTTAATATTTAAGTTTAGTTTTTATCCGTGCTTTGTTTGCTTTTGTGTTCTCTAAATGTGTTTTTGAAAATGTTTCTCTTGAGTTTGAGGTAATGAGGACAAAAACGATAAATTAGTGTAATTTACAAAGTTAGGTATAGAAAAGATTTAATGTATGCCTACATTATCTTTATTTTAGAGGTAAAAATGTTATTTTCAATAGACTTCAGTTTTTTTAGTATTGAGTGGGGATTGATCAGAAATAATTTTTTTTATCTCACATAAGATATGAATAATATCTGTGTATACTTAATATTTCACGTGTACTTCAATTATGTATTCACACTGAGTATGTTATTATAATACATATATTTTCCTATCTGCATATATTTTCTTAACCACCATTGAAGAGCATTGGAAGCTTGCAAAGGATAGCCAACTTCTCAACTTTTCTTCTCTAATTTAGTGAATTGAGTCATCATTAAGTATGGATTCTTCACTCTTGGGTTTCCTTTCCCCAACAGGTCCATTCAAAGTTGATTTTCGAATCACCCATTATCAATGGTTTTCCTCTACATATGAGTTTCCTTCTAAATTTAAAATTGATGATTGATTATGATGAATTGTAGAGTATATATTAAGTATATATACTCAGCAATTAAGTATATATTGCTGATTAAGTATATATTGCTGAGTAATTAAGTATATATTGCTGAGTAATTGATGTTGATTAATTGAAATTTCATGTGATCCATGACCTTTCCCCAATTTCCCCAAATCTTAGATTTTGGTTGATATTGCTGAAAGATGATGGGGTTATGGGTTGATATATTGGTGTTGATAGTATTATTTCTTTATGGATTCTTATGCAACATGTTTTTATTGGGTTTTGATCTTGTTGATCCTATTGAATGAACCATTTTCCTTAATCCTAGATCATGAATTGAGTTTGATTGATTAGTGATGATACAATTGACTTAGCTCTTATATAGATTACTATTATGATGTTATTAAGTATATTGATGGGTGAATATGATTGGTTTGATGGTAAGATGACTTATGAAGGTAAGACGTTATGATCTTGCATCCTTTACTTTAATGATGGTGGTTTATATTTGATGATGATGTTCAATTGAGGTATTATATGTGATTAGGTTAAGATGGTGATGATTTGATCAATATGATGAAATGTCTTGACTATGTGAATTGTGTAATCATGTTAAGGGTATGATTATACAAGGTGGAATATAAATAATTGTGTGCCTTACTACTATATGAAGATGATGTGTTGATCTCACAAATGAAGGGTTGTTATGAAAGGGAATTCTCATGCCATATCTATATGAGCTAATGACATGATATACAAGGGTCATGATTAGTCTCCTATGGCCTATACTAAGATATGATTATTAAGAAAGGCTTAAAGACATTTCAAAAAGGGACCTTAGCTTAGCACCAAGTGAACTAGATATGAGAGGTGTCTCTTCCCAAAATGTGGAAAGGTAGGTTCACAATGATATTACAATGCAAATGTGCATAAAGAGGGTCTCTAGTATATCTCCTAGTTCTTAAACTATGTTGCCCACATAGGAATACTAGCTAGTGGATCCACCTAGAATGCTATGTTTATGTTTTGGTTCTACCTTGGCAAGTAGAACACCTTCTTTCGGTATAGGGTTTCATGACACCGGATTCCATGTTTAGCTCACATGGTCTATTGTCGATTAAGGCGATTGTTCCTGAAAGTAAAATGAATGAATGAAGTAATAAAGGTGAACACTAACTAGGATGACTTAAGTGGTTCTACTTAGTGTAGGTAGGGGTATGAGACTCTATCTATGCATTGCACAAGTTGGCCTTGAGGATGTTGTTCTTGTGTTATTATATACTTATGATATCATGAAATGTATATATGTTGGTTCTTATGATGAACATAATATTGGTCTAAATTGATATATATATGATGATGACTACACATGATGTTATGTTATATGAAGCAAGACATTATTTATGGTTCCTCTTCTTGGTTACTTGATTATGTGGGATTATGGGTCTTCATTTTGTGAACTACATTAAGTGTGTTATTATTATTGTAACATATAATTAAGAAAATAATTGTTTACTTTTTAAGAAAATAAAAATATTCTTGCTATTTGTGACACAAAATATGTTGGGTTGGGCCAAACATAAAAGTCTATGTGGATGCCACATAACCATGTGGGCCCAAAACAAAATGGTGAAGTGTAATTTGTGACATGCGGTAACCTTTTTTATTTTTATATATATTTAATTTCAGATGTTTACTCTAATCACAAAATATATTAATTTTAATTTATTTGTCTTAGTTTTACTGAATTTTCTTCGTATTTATGATTTAAACTAAGTCAGCGTTTAATTACAGATTTTGATAATTTATCTTTAGAAATATGTTGACCACGACATTTGATTAGATTTAAAATTTTATTATTTGCATTTCAATTTGACCACGAAAATCAAATAGAAATTTGATGAGGTTTTGAAAATTTATCTTCAAATATTTATTTGACCATAAAATTTGACTGATTTTAAAATTTTATATTGAAATATTTGTTTGACCATGATTTCATCGCAATCCTTTTTATTCTTTATTCAAATTTTAAATCTATCATCTTATCTCGACTCTTATTCATTTATTCAGACTCGGAACAAAAAATATGAACAAGCTTACACAGACAGTGAGACCGACTAAAACTTAATTAATAATTAGTTTTAAATAATATGTTTTTAAAAAAAATTAAAATCATAATAATTAAAAAAAAAATACTTTTAATACATGTAGTAGTATATAAATAGTTCCTCATTCTCCTCCTTCATAACAAGAAGTTTTTGAGATCACCATTTACAGTTTTCAATTCTCTGAAATCGTAAGTTGTTTCAGTCAATTTTTTCAATTATAGAAAAACCCAGTTCAAAAATCACCTCAGGTTGAAATCACGAGATCCCCATCTTTCTTTTGCCCCAAGTTTTTCGTCTTCAGAGCCATTTTTTTTTTCCATTTTGTTGTTGATGATTGATTTGCAGTTTTGAATTCTCTAACATTGCAAGTTGTTTTTAAAGGGATATATATATATATATATATATAGATTTGTTCAAAAATCATCTTAGCTTGTCGAATTGTATGTGTATAGAAGAAGAAGAGGAGATTATTTTATGGGGTTTTAGAGAAATTCTGTTTGAATCCATTTTTTTCTCCGTCCTTGTTCTTCTTCTTCAAAGCGATTTTTATAGTTTTTAATTTTGTGAAATTGTAGGTTGAAAAAAAATGTCGAAGCAGAGAAGCAATGACATTGAGATGATACCCGAGATTTACGGCTATGGAAGCATAATGCCTTTTGGTGCAATGCAGAGAACCAATGCGGAGGAGTTGAATACACAAGCGAATGAGATCAAGGGGTAAATGTTTTATACTGATTATAAATTGTTGAAATGTTTAGAGTCTATGTGTGTGTTTGCGAATCAATTATGTGTGACATACAATAATTGATTATCTTGTTACAAACCATATGTGTGTTTGCGAATCAGTTATCAACAAATCTTTGTTACTTAGGCAAGAAATATGTAATGTAAAAATCTACATGCCCGTTCGCTTATTGTTGATCATGAATATTGAAAAACGTGGTGAATTTTCTGTAGATATTGTTATCTTTGCTGGCCTTGTCATTTGCTAATGTTAAAGTTGTTTTTTGTGTATGTATATTACCATTGATATGTCAAACTCGATGCAGGACATGTGTTGATTGGTGCCAACGGGCCATAAACTATTTTCTGTTTCGGTGTTTTCTTCTTCTTTTAGTTCGATTGTTCTCCCCCTCTTAGTTGGTAGCTTCCACCATCAATTCTATTATCAAACCTCTTCGTTTCTTTACAGTTTATAGCTAAACTTGCCACAGCATTGGGTCAATTCCTTATCTGAATCTCATTCCTGTAAAACTTGCAGTTTAGGACAGGTTGAAAATGCAAGGAAGGGTCAGAAACCAGATCAAGCCAAGTTGCAGGCAATGGAGGAACACATCAGCAAATGCGCTGACGCCCGGAGATCTAAAAATTGGGTGACCATGTTAATAATAGCTGCGGAAGCAACTACTTCTGAAGCTGATGCATCTCCTAAGGTAAAGCATCTTTAGTGGTTACATTCTGTGACAAATAGGAGAATGAAAATTCAAGTGCTGATATTGAATTGATCACAGCTATTCGCATGTCAAGCGGAAGCTCATTTGAAGCTGTACAAATTAAAGGATGCTGAATTGTGGATTCGTAAAGCTAGGACGTATGAGCTATCTGCCACAGAATGCCGGTCAAAAATTTTTGGAATGCTCTCTGAAGCATACATATTATTTGTCCAAGCTCAGATTGACAGCTGTCTTGGAAAGTGAGTATCAGTATTGCATAAGTTGTAATATAGAAATAAAAGAGGTTCAGCCATATTATGATCCTATGAATATCTGCAGGTTTGATGATGCGTTTATTGCCATTGAAAGAGCTGCACAAATTGATATTCAAAGTGCTGAAGTTACTGGTAAACTCAAAAACATGAGGCTGGTGGATAAAGCTCGTACTCATGGCAACGAGCATTTCAATTCTAAAAGATATAGACAAGCTTGTAGTGTTTATGGGGAAGGGCTCTTTCTTGATTTTTCAAATTCAGTTCTCTACCACAATAGAGCAAATTGCTGGTTTAAGCTTGGAGAGTGGGAAGAATCTCGGGCTGATAGCATTCGCGCTCTCGTTATCCGGCCACAATATACTAAAGCTCTTTATCGAAAAGCTGCCTCAAGTATCAAGGTGACATGCCTTTAAATCATAATTGCTTCTTTTTACTTTTTCTGCAAAAATCATAAATTTGTTCGTATGCAATGCATTATAGCTGGAAAGATGGGCTGATGCTGTGAGCGATTATGAGTTTCTGCGGCAGCAACTTCCAAGTAACAAAGTGGTTGCTGAAAATTTATCCTATGCCCGAGCTGAATTAAGGAAGTCACGCAGAAAAGGTAATTTCATGGTGAAGTTGGTTTCAGATCTTGACAAGTTCCGGGCTGCGATTGCATCTGGTAGGCTTTCCTGCATCAGTCAGTATGTTAACCTCTTCCTTATATCATTTTCTATATAACTCAACAAATATTGTAGGTCCATCTGTGGTCTATTTTGATGAATTATCCAACCCAGAAAGCACGTGGATGTCCTATATCATGGATACCTTGAACGCCGAATATCCTTCAGTAACTTTTCTCGAGGTAAACAATCATAGGCAACGCGTCGTGCTTTTCAGGCAGACGGGAACACCTAGACTCTAAGCTGGAGTATTATATTTCTTACAATGCACAACAGGGGAATGAAGAAAACTCATATTAATTTATTTTTTTTCTACTGAAGGTGGACGTGAAACAGAGTCCAGCGATCGCTACAGCAGAGAAAATTAAAGTAGCACCTAGGATTAAGCTTTACAACAATGGCAGTCGTGTGGCGGAAACGGTTATGCTAACTCCAGATTCGTTGGAGTTATTGATTAAGAACACCCTCGTATTTCCCCCCAGTTGGTTTGGTGTTACCTCTGTCATGACCGGAATCTAGACCCCAGACGAGACCGGCGTCGTTGACCTCTCAGAGGTCGCAGACAAGCCTACTTACGTCATTCTTACTTTACATAGATAAATTTTAGCGGAAAATTTGAATTTTTTTTTTATTCTTTAATCATACTTGCTGAATATTCTTAACATTTCATAATCGTTCATCATCAACCATCTAACATTTAAGAGATAAGCAACTGAAAGAAATAATTCATTAAGTATTAATCGTATATCGGCCAAAATAGCACTAATACAAAGTCTGAACCAAAACAGGAAAGAAACGCTAGTGGAACATGCTCCACTAGCTCAACTCTAAAACTACGCTAGAATGTAAAACAGTAGCATCCTCGAAAGCATGAGGACCTACCAAACTCCGGATGAATACTGACGTCCGGATAGCTGCAACAACGAACCTGTAATTCTAGCGTCCACCTGTGCCTGCACCTAAAAGTAGATGTTCGTATGGAATTAGTACACACTTGTACTAAGTATGGGTATATGCAAGTACACACCAGGGACATGCATGAGGAAGAAGAGCTCTTTTCTAACAACATGATGTTTGGGAGTCAAGTCAGTGGACTTGCTAAAATGAGATTAGGAAAGTTATGCCATGAGAGTGACATGCATCATTATAATCATCGTATTGCACACAAGACATAACATCTTCACATATCACATAACATATAACACATAGTTTCTTTCATATTATTCATTCATATACCATGAGACCTTATTATCATAGACTTAACCTTAAGACTTTCCAAAATGAGGGCTCAACATATGGGACCTCAACTAGGGAGCCTTCTTTAGCAAACACAGAGTCTGTTTCACTCATTCATTCGTATTTCATTTCAATTCATTCATAGGCCAGTGCGAACACCAGCTATACCTAGGATGTAGTTTAAGACTTTCATCGGGTTTGCTGTGCAATGATCAGGAATGACCTAATGTCATTACCTGAATCTAGCTCACCTCTTGATTATCCTATCCTAACACCTTCGGTATCATTCATTTCTTTATATGATTCATTTGAGGCTGGCCTCATTCATTCATTGGGAACTTTAACTTTAATCGACATAGATCATGTGAGCATCATGAAATCCAGTGTCTTCCCCACACCGAAAAGAGGTGGAATCACCGGCCAAAGCGATTCAATAACATGCTAGCGTATATGGGAATTTAACCCCGCCAGATCCCTATAGTGGCAATATAGGTTCAAAGACTAGGAGATGTATGGAGACCCATACCCGGCAAGCCGGACAGTCTCATCTCATGAGAGTTACGTGAACCTCCGCCCTTCCCGAAAGAAGGCATCACCGCTCATAGCTAGCCTATCGGTGCTCGGTATAAAGTTCCATTACGTTCAATCATACATCATGGAAGTTGGCTTCTAGTATAAGGACATCATAGCTCAATAGATGATTTCTCATCTCATCATTTGTATTAAGTGTTTTACTCTCAATATTTTCATTAGAGTATTCATAGAGACTGATCTCTTCATTATCTTAAACTCTCATTGGTGAGTACGTATTGGTAACCTTTACTTAGGCTCATTTGAGATTGCTCTCATCATATACATTAGTCTCACATTATGGTTGTCACCACATTCTTCATTTCATTACGTATATCTTAGGTCCACTTATTTTTGAACGTATGTTAAACTTATGTGTCTATACATACAAGCCATGGAGCTTCATTTATAGTTCGTTAAGTGATTCTTATTTTTCTAAGATTATGTATTACAAGACTTATGTATCTTGTATATATGTCAAGATCTTTGATTTTTGATCTAAGTAGATGACATTACTCTTGAATATTTCACTCACGTATGACTTATGTATCAATACGACATTACTCTTGAATATTTCACTCACGTATGACTTATGTATCAATACGACATTACTCTTGAATATTTCACTCACGTATGACTTATGTATCAATACGGAGGTTTGGACACGAGAACCCAAATCTTGAATTATTTGGATACCATTTATATTTTTTTTATTGACTTTAGTTCTAATATTCGTAATTTAGAACTCTAAATTAAATCTCAACATTTTCGTGACATAATAAATTTTCTATTTTTATTAGAATTCTAGATTAAATTTCAATCATTTACATGAAAGAATAATTTTCTAATTTAATTAGAATTCTAACTTAAATCTCAATATTTACAAAAAAAAAGAATTAATATTCTACTTTTAATTAAAATTCTAAATTAAATCTCAATGTTTACATAAGAGAATAAATTTTCCAACTTTAATTAGAATTTTAATTTATTATTATTATTATTATTTTTAATTAAATTCGCTTGAATAGGGAGGTTGTGGGTTCGAGCCCCCACAACCCCCCTTATTTTCCTCTTAAATTCGCTGGGAATGGAGGCTGTGAGGTGGTGGGTTCGAACCCCCACAGCCTCACCCTTTTTCCCTTAATATTTATACTCCCCCTTTCAGCCCTGAGGTCGTGGGTTCGATCCCCACGCCTCGCATCCCCTTATTATTATTATTTTTTTTCGTTTTAGCGAACTGGGGTCGTGGGTTCGATCCCCCCGCCCCAGCATTCCCTTTTAATCTTTTTTTTTTCGTTTTAGCGAACTGGGGTCGTGGGTTCGATCCCCCGCCCCAGCATTCCCTTTTAATCTTTTTTTTTCTTTTCGCGGATGGGGGTCGTGGGTTCGATCCCCGCCCCCAACATTCTTTTTTTTTTCTGCGAACTATTGCTGCCTCGCGGGTGAGGTCCCAGGTTCGAATCCTGGTGCCTCATCTCTTTAAAATTTATTAAATTTCCAGATTTCCTTCATTAAACTTTAGTCCAAATTAAAGTTGCATTGTTGCTGGAATTTTTGGTCATTTTTCAATTCGTTTTTATCCATATTTTTACTTGAATTTCTAAGAAAATTCGTAGACTATTTTAACACATTTTAAGTGTATTTTTTATGGGTTTGTTTGGCTAAAAGATTGTTGATCAATTACTATATATTTCACCATGATGGACATCATCTTGTACACCCATTTTACACATAAAATACACATAAAATACACAATAAATACAATCATATTACATTAAACTTTTGGAGCATTACATAAAGAACCTCATTCACCGTAACGTACTTACACAAAATTTCAAGAAAAGCATGATTGCCACTCATACGATTCCAAGTACACAAACATAATCATATTCATCGCGAAAACATAATATACCTCTAAATCTACCAGCAATCATACCCAACCTAAAATTCATTGGGAGCTAGTGACAAGGACATACAAAAGGGAACAACCCTAGTTTTCGGAATGAATATCTTGAACCTTAAGGGGTCTCTTGGGAAAGGGACCGAGAGAGAAGAAACCCATACCTTAATCGATGTTCAAACTTTAATGTTGCTGCCCGGAAAACTCCTCCAAACCACTCCCAATTCACTTCAACGTACACCTCTCTCGACAAACCTCTCTTAGCCTTGACGTTTTGATTACTTTTTCTTTTGCTTAAAAATTTTTGTTAGTTCTTCCAGCATGAAAACTGTTGATGTTTTGACAGAAATAATGTGAGGAAGATGGAGAGTGAGAGAGGGAGTTAAGAAGCGTGAGAGAGAGAGGACTATTTGGATTAGGAGACTAATTCAAGAATTAGTCAAATAACATTTAAAATAAATAAATATAAATCTGTTTTATTTATTTACTTATTTATTTATTTATTCATTTAAAACGTGAAAGGACAATTATGCCCTTAAATACCTATTTATTCTTATTTATATAATTCTTTTTTTTTGAATCGTTACAACCTCAATTGCAGGAATCAACTAAGATTCGAGGATTGAACGAAGTAACTGCTAAAGAACAGTTAAGAATAATGGAAAAATAGAGAAGAAGAGAAGAAGAAAAATGTAGATTTTAAGAGAGGAATGAGTTATATTGTATGTTCATGCTGAAACCCTTTACAATTCAGAACTATATAGGATTTACAATTAAATTAGTTGAAAGGAAAATATCTACTAACTGTTTCAACAATAGTCTTAACAACTTTAACTAACTCGGTATTAACTAACTAATTTCTGTTGTGGCTCAACTAATTTCCTGATTTTCTGTTATTCATCCTAATTCCAAATATGTGTAACATTTGGTAATCTTTTATAGCCTCGTGTATTCAGTTTCGGAATTACTTGCCCAAAGTGGGAATGACCCAAATTTATCTTTTACGTGCGCTATAGTCCATGAGTTTTGTTACGACCTGATAAATGGCGTGAGTTTTTCCCGAGTGGCAAACAGATGAATTTCAAAGTTCAAACGAGTCTCAATGCGGGAAAAAATTAAATTTATCAATTTTCATGTGTTATAGTCCATGAATTTTTGGCGATATGAAATTCTTACTTGCTTTTTTATTAAATTTTTTCATAAAAGTTTGTTACGACCTAATTAATGGTGTGAGTTGGTCCCGCGAGACAAATAACCGCATTTTTAAGTTCAAATGAGTCGCAATGCAGGATAAACCAAAATTTACCGATTTTTGTATTTTGTATACTATGGATTTTTGCTAATACGTGATCCCGACTTGTTTTTTACTTAAATTTTCAAGGATGTTCATTACAACCTTATCTATTAGCATGAGTGGGTCCCGAGGGGCAAATCGACATATTTTCAAGTTCAAACGAGTCCCAATGCAAGAAAAATTAAATACTCCATGAATTTTCGATGATACTTGATCCTGACTTGTTTTTGGCCAAAAATTTTCATAGACTTCTGTTATGATCTTGAATGGCGTGTATTGTTTCTCAGAGGAAAACAGATGCATTTTCAAGTCAAATAAGCCCCAATATGGTACAAATCAAATTTATTGATTATTTGTGTGCTATAGTCCATGAATTTTGGTGATAGGTGATCCCTTTTTTTGGCCAAAATTTATCATGAATGTCAGTTACAATCTTATTAATGCATGAGTTGGTCAAGAGGGGAAATTAAACGTATTTTAAAGTTTAAACGAGCCTCAGAGCGGGAAAAACTAAATTTACCATTTTTGTGTGCTATAGTCCATGGATTTTCGGTGATACATCATCACAACTTATTTTTTGCCAAATTTTTTATGGACGTCCATTACAGCCTTATTAATGGCGTCAATTGATCTCGAGGAGCAAAAAGATGCATTTTCAAGTTCAAACGAACCCCAATAAGGAAAAAATTAAATTTGCCAATTTTCGTGTGTTATATAGTCCATGAATTTTTGGTGATACATGATCTCAGCTTATTTTTGGTTGAAATTTTTCATAGACGTCTGTTATGACATTACTAATGGTGTGAATTGCTCCCGAGGGGAAAATAAACACACTTTCAAGTTAAAACGAGCCTTAATGCTGGAAAAAATCAAATTTATCGATTTTCATATGGTATAGTCCATGGATTTTTAGTGATGCATCATCCTGACTTATTTTTTGCCAAATTTTTTGTCGACGTCTATTACAACCTTATTAATGGCGTGAATTGGTCTCGAGGAGCAAAAAGACGCATTTTTCAAGTTCAAACGAGTTCCAATAAGGGAAAAAACAAAATTGCCAATTTTCATGTGTTATATTCCATAGATTTTTGGTGATACATGATCCCTACTTGTTTTTGGCCGAAATTATTCATGGGCGTCCGTTACGACTTTTTAATGATTTTATAAAAAAAATTATCGGGTTATGGATTTGGTTTGGGTTTCTTAATTTGAGTTAATAGATAAATTGATAACTAATTAAGACTATAGTAATTTTCTATTTTATCTATACGTAAATATTAATCTCAGTACCTTACTAGTTATTGTCTTTGCCTTTTAGCATTCTATTTATATTTTATTGGTGACTTTGAATTTACAACTTTACATTATACAATACGTCAAAAAATAAAGTAAGAACATATTTCTTTTAATTTCTCTCTATGTTATACTTTGTATAGTTCTTTTCATGTTAGCTATTATTGTTATCTTTTCGTGTTCAATTGTTGGAGAATTCATATATTTGTTTTATAAGTATTTTATTATTGATTAAATAAAAATCCAAAAATCGTTAAAAAAGTAACTTATTAATTTAACCTATTTAAATTGAAAACTGATAAATCAAACCGAATCTATCGTTGTACATCTTTATTTCTACCTAAAATATACCAACTATTAATGTAACATACAATAGATTGTTTTCTTTTCAAATATATATAAATTATGATTCTATTTCAAGTAGAAAAACGAGATAGTTCAAATAAAAAAATAGAAATAAAATAATATTTCATATAAAAAACCAAAAAATGTAACTTTCATGTTCAATACTCAAAGACCACACAATACTAAGAAGAGGAGAAAATCAATTCTCCTCAAATTTCATCAATTCATCAAAATGCAAATGGAAACCAATTTTTTGATTCCATTTTTCACAATTTTCATCCAATTGATGTCTACTCATGTGAAACCCCAGCTGATCGAGTCGCAATTGAATTTTCCTAGCTGTCCGGCGACTGATCCGGCACTTAATTACCGGCCGGTCATCGGAATTGTGAGTCATCCCGGCGACGGAGCTTCCGGTCGTCTCAACAACGCCAGTGATGTCTCATACATAGCTGCTTCTTATGTCAAGTTTGCTGAAATGGCTGGTGCTAGAGTTATCCCGATTATATATACAGAGCCTCCTGAAATTATCAATCAAGTAAATATTTTTACTTCCTACCTTTAATTTTAGCTCTACTTACTATCTCCTTCGTTTCAGTTTCTGTGATTGTGTTTGATGTACATGAAGTTGACTTTTGAAAACTTGTACGTAGTGTTAGAAGCCGATCTACTGTCAGTATATCCTTGAAAGGTCAGACGGAGAGAATAATCAGACTCCTCGAGGAATACTCAAGGCAGTTTAGTGTAACCAGAAGGACTAGAGCTGATGATATAATTTAACAACCAAAAAGCTCTGCATTAAACTTGAGCATAAATAAGTTAGAGCAGATGTTTATCTTACCTTATCAAAAAGTTAAAACTGAGTATAATATTCTAATGATGAATCATCTGAACGTCCATGTACTAGCTGAAAGTGGTTCGACATTTAATATATATGTATAAAAAGTAGTTTTAAGTTTTAACCATGTAGAAATAGTATGTTTTTTCGTTGAAGGGGATACGGATGAACCCCTGACCACAAGTTGGCTCTGCCCATGGGTCTAAGTAGAGTGTATGGATTCAAAAAGCATTTGTATGGCTGATGTCAACTAGTTTGTGTTTGAAATATAGTTGATTTGATTGACTGATTGGCCTAGTACAAGTTCCCAAAACTACTTAGATCCTTATGGTTTAAGTATGTTACCGTCTTTTATCATTTAAGTATGTCACCATCCTCAAAGCAAGCGCGGGGCCTGACTCTTTTATATAGACCAAACACGTTGATTTATCTGATCTAAAAGTTTACCATCCTTTTCTGGTTGAGGGAATGGGTTGTGACCCACTTTATATGGTCTTGGGAAATCCTCTACTCATGAGGTTGTTTTGGGGTTGTGTTAGGCCCAAAACCCATTTCTTCACTTGGTATCAAGTCAAACCCATTGATCTCTATTGTTATGTTTCTTAATGTTGGATCTCCTTGTTATGTTATTGACACTCTAGTTGTTCAATCCTAGCGTGGAGTGGAGTGTTAAGTCCAACATTGGTTGAGAGAATAGGTTGTGATCCTCCTTATATGGTCTTGGGCAGTGCTCCCCTTATGAGCTTACTTATGCGGTTGAGTTAGGCCCAAAGTCTATTTTTTTCACACTTCTTTTTGCTCTAATTTTAGCTTGCTCTTGTGTTTGGAAATAATAATGATCCCTTCAATCTTTCACTACATAAACTTCTTATTGTGTATATTTAAATGATGATTGCGTACATATTGGCCTGAAGGCATCTAAAAACCACTAAGCTATTTTAAAAGACCTGACAAAGCATGTTATTATCTCTCATCTTCGCATTTGCAGTGTGGCATCTCACATATGTTATTCAATGTATGTGCAGAAACTTAATCTAGTCAATGGAATTATCTTCACTGGAGGGTGGAGCAAGAAGGGTCTCTACTTTGAAGTTGTTAAAGGAATATTCGAGGTAACTTTCTCCTGTTTTTACACTTTCTGCTAATTATGTCACTGCTGCTGCATTTTTTCTTCACTTGAAAAATACCCTGTATGTGAACCTGCATGATACCTGGACAAAAGCTTGACACAAACAATTACTTTGAATAGGATATCTACGAGCTTGTATACTTTAATTTACATACATTATCTGCTCATTATCATCATCTTAAGGGTTGTTTTTGTTTTGTTCGAAGATGTTTGTATCAGCATTTTTTGTACAATGATTGTAAGCTTTTTCCTGATATTGCAGAAAGTTCTGGAGAAGAATGACGCGGGTGAGCATTTTCCTCTTCTTGCCATCTGCTTGGGTTTTGAACTTTTAACAATGATCATCTCCAAGGTAATGAAGGCGTAAGGGAAGATAGAGTTCGTACTCTTAAGTTTATCAGAAGGCACTTAAATTTGAGAAGTCGGGAACTGTTTTAACACAGAGTAATTTGTTCAATATACACTTGATGTGAAATCTCTGGACTAGCGAACAAACTTTAACGGGGTGTAAAATTTCTATGGCAAGTCAGAAAGAGCTTACACATTCCGGATAAAGTTTAAGCTCTCAATACTTGTGCATCCTTAGTATATCCAAAAATTCAAATATCTTTATTAATAGGTATATAAATGCTCATTGTTTGTGGTATTACTCTATTATCCTAGAGTAGTTATTTGGGGAGGACTCCAAAGGAAATTTTGAGGTAGAACATAAAAAGGGGTGTTGGATCATATCTTGATGAGGAGTAAGAAGTTATTGCAGATAATATCAGTAATCGGTATATAATTATATATTCTGGTCGACATTATATTTGCTTTTTCTTTCTGATTCAAATTTGTGCAGTGAGTTCTAATTTGTTTTTACCTATGCCCAATTTCACAATATTCTACTAACTGTACTTGACTATAATTCATGCCTTGTTGATATTTTGCTAATTACTTCTGGAATAAATTATTTGACACATCAAAGCTACTGTGTTTCTCTCAAGTAACCCATGACCCAAACACATGATGTGAGAGACCACCTTTTAAAGTAGTGTAGGGGATCATTGTTCCTCAATACCTGTGTGAACCAAACAACTCTGCTCAGTGTTTCACTCCTGTTTTTTTCTGTTATGTTGATATTAACATTTTTTAAAACTTTTTTTTGATGTTATAGGACAATAACATTCTTGAGGAATTCAGTGCATTGCATCAAGCGTCTACAGTACAATTTGTAGAAAATATAAAATTTGAAGGAACAGTTTTTGGAAGGTATATATTTCCTTTTCACGCCTTCTCTTATCGTTGACTATTAGTTTTTTTCCCCTCTCTTCTCTTTCTCCCTCTTCTTTCCTCCTCTATTTATGTTCCACTTGGGAAATTCCCAGATTACCCTCATTTAAAGGCTTTAAATGCTAGATTTTAAAAAAAAGTTCAAGTTCAAGTGCCTGAATGACAGGATATCATAAATAGTGTGTGTTTTCAGATTTTGAAAATTCAAAGGGTTTGTATAATACTTTTTTTCCCTATGTGGTATTAGTAATCACATAATAGGAAAGTGTGGATATTTGAACAACCAAGATTAAGATTTGGCATTGCAATCTGATTTGCTATAAGTGTGCATATTTTCTTGCACCTGTGGTTCTGAAACAATCGTTTTGAGTGTAGACTGATCCTAAAAGAATAAAAGGGAATCGGTGGTATTATGAGCTATAATACATGTAGCACCAGTTTTGAACTGGTGTGACATGTATGTGAACTCTTAGTTAGGTTTGAAAATATGTCTAGAGATTAGCAATAAATTGCGTGTAATAATACCGGATACTTACACCCACCGGCCACCCGCAATGGGATACGTATCCATAACCAAGTTCATGTAGTAGGTTATGAGCTTAGTGGGAAGGCATTGTCTCTTATTTTTCTCCCTGCATTCTAATTGAACTGTAACAAGACACATTTGCCAATTTCTTTTTAAAGAAACAAATATAGTAACTCATGTGAATTGGATATTTATATTATTTGACACCTACATCAACAGTTTTATAATGTATGAAGGGCCCTCTGGTAATTCTAATTTTGACAATAGACAATTGGCTAATGAACAGTTTCCTGCAGGTTTCCACCTGTGCTGCTAAAGAAGATGACTACACACTGTCTTGTGATGCAAAATCATCGTGTGCGTTTCACATGATAGGTTTTTCTTTTCCATTCGTCGCACTTCCGTCTCTGTACATTATTTTTGGTCAGTACAAGATTTACTATCTTTTTTCTCTTCTTGAGGTGGAGACTGTGATGACTTCACGATGATACTCTTTGTACTTTGTGAGATCATGATTACTCCCGAATGTACTCTACAGAAAAAGTATTCCAGCGATTTTGTGTAGTTTTATGTCTTGTATCAGGTCTGAAATGGTTAGAACTTAGAAATACCAGGATTCCTTGGTTTCACTACGAATAATTGGGCATCTTTACCTGCCTTGGGATTACATTCATATCTGTTTCATTGCCTGCCGAATTCATTCAAGTTTTTTTCTGCAGCTCTACTGTGATTTCTCTGGACAACATTCTTCATATTCCTAATGAGTATTTGTCATCAGTAGTAACATTACTTAAATATGAACTAGACTTTGTTACTATTACATTGGAAAAATTCTTTATCCTGATTCATTGGGTAGTGTATGCTCATTGGGCCAGAGAACTACCCTTGTTATTAATAACTTTTTTGATAGGTTAAGATTGTATGGTTCATAGTTGTAGATCAAATCATTCTTCCAGCGATTTGTGATTACAGCATAAAAGGACTTTGTTAGTGCAATGACGGGGGAGAAATCAGTTTCAAACGAATATATGCTAATCTTAGAATGAATTCTATGCATGCTAGATATTGCCATTTGGCTTTCAACTTTTATCTGTATTATCCTAGTCCCAAGGACCTTATTTGGCACTTTTGGATTACTGTGATGAGGCTGAATAATTGTTTTCTCATGCCACAGTTTGGTATATCACCAGAAAGGCTTCAAGCAAATAATGACCTGTGTGGCTTTTTCAAGATATTGACAACTAGTGTTGATAAGAAAAACAAGGTACATGACATATTTTATCCCTTCGCCCCTCTCTGGAATATCTGTGAGAATCTCATCAAATTGTACGGAGTCTAGTATAAAGTAGTTGAAGTGTTGAACCTTTTTGTTTCTGATTTGTTTAAAAAATTGATTCAGGTCTATGTCTCCAGTGTTCAAGCACAACACTATCCCATAACTGCACTCCAGTGGCACCCAGAGGTACTGTCTTTGGTTACTGTCTTCTTGTCTGTAATTCCATCTGAGATAAACAGGATTTAGTTGTTATTTGAAGTACAAAAACGTTGTTGTTAGATCTGATAACATGTTAGGTAGTATACAGTTTCTTACTTTATTTTGTGTGGATTTGTTGCTTTTCCCTATTATGTAAATATCTCATCACAGTCTGCTCTGCGGATTGAGGGTAGGTTTCTGTCAGACAAGCATGCCTTAAAGTTTATATCACGCCTTGTCTTTTCTAGACTGCATGATTTAGATTTTGTCTCTGAAATGATTATCAACAGTATGTATTCTGTTCCTCCCATGCCTAGCCAGGGATGACCATAGGAGTGATTGCATGACTTGTGAGGTTCTATTAAGTGAGGAATAGTGATACGGTTTTTTACATGCCTGAATGGCTATTTCTTGAAGGGAATTGTTGAACTTAGTGCGATAACTCAAGCCCTTTGACGACATTTTCCACTTGAAGTTTGAAATTTAACTGCATTACTTCGTCATGGTAATTGCAGAAAAATGTTTTCGAGTGGGGTTCATCACAGATTCCACATACCGAGGATGCAATCCAAGTGAGTCAACATGTTGCCAACTATTTTATCAGGTATTGACCTTTTCTTCTCAGTGTTCTTGCTCCGTAAGGGTGCGGAATCTTGGAATTAGTTCAGACACAGCACACAATAGGGAGGCAGGATAATGCTTTCCAATTTCTAATATATGATGTTCACATTTTAATTTTGGAAAATGATTTTGACATTGATTTGCTTACAAAATGAAGCTGCAATAAATGTTTCAGAAAGCTCATGCTTTTCTGATGAGAAGCTATAAGCTGGTCCTCCTACTGTTCACCTCACCAGTGACGACTGTTCTATTACATCATCAAAGAAAATGAGAGAAAAGCACAAGAACAACCCTTTACGTAATCCATAATTATTAGCTCGTTTCAAACTTCTTTCCCTCTCTGTCTGCAGTAGGAAGTGAGACAAAGTTATGCTGAAACCTATCAATTTCTGAATAAAGCCGTGCTTCTTGTTTTGCCTCTTCGTTTATTTATTTTTCCTTGTAAATTACAGTGAAGCTAGAAAATCTTCTAATAATAAGCCGGCGACCAGCAAAGTACTTGACAACCTCATCTACAATTACAGTCCCTCTTATGCTGGGAAGGTTCGGTAAGTTCACATCACCCTCTTCACTAGTTGAGATTCTTCTTAAGAATACAAGACAAAATTCAAGACTCTCGTGTCTGTGTAATGTAGGGGGAGCTTTGAGGAGGTCTACCTCTTCACTCCGCGTCCTACCTTGAGCTCTCTGTAGATGCATGTGAACTGCAAAAGCATCGACTAATTGCATGATCAAAGATTATAGATGAAGATACATGTCATTAGTGGATGTTGATCACGGGTTGTGCTCGTCTTCAAATTTCCAGTTATTCAGCGATCTCCCAGAAAACGAATTACTTTACACTAATTGGATGATGATTGTTTATAATTGTTCCATCATCCACCTTCTGTATTCAGGTTTGCATGATTTGAATTGGAGCACAAGTCTCTGAACCTTTATGCTTTCCAAGTGTTTGTAATAATTACAAATTTTTATGTTTTGTACTATAAAGGAAGATAATTTATATTGATAAACATTCATTCATCATTAGTGATATTGTTTGCTTACAACTAAGTATCAAAGTGTTTGGAACCTAGTTGACACTTGTTAGGTGATTCAACATGGATCAATGTTTTTCTCATACACTAGTTTGAATCTTTTTAGAGGTTTTTTTTTTTCTTTTTTCTATTTCATTGATTCAGGTGTTTCCGACTTCATACGTAACAAGACTTGAACCTGTGAACTCTAATTAATGATGAAACAATACTTTCAACTTCACTACAACTCTTGTTGATTTCCTTTTCATTACCCCCCCCCCCCCCCCCCAACAAATTAGAAACTTTATTTTGTCATTGTAAAAAGAAGGTGATTAAAGATATAAATCGAAGTTTGAATTGCCTAGTGCGGGTTACATCTACGTTGTTGCGAGCTAATGCATAAGAATCAATCTCATAAACTTTAAATTTCGAATTCAAATATAATCCAATAAATCGAAGTTTGAATTGCCTAGTGCAGGTTACTACTGTAAATTCACAATAGAAGCGGGGATAGAGTAAAATGTATAAGTTTGACAAAACCCAAATATAAAAAGGCTAGAATCAATCTCATAAACTTCAAATTCCGAATCCGTTTCCGCGAAAATAACATCGAATTTGTAAATTCTCTTATGCTAGACTAGACTATCTCCAAGCACGTGAAATGCACGTGAGTTCCCAAAAATCTCTAGGCCCTAGCATATAAAAAGCTCCAAGTCCATTACAATGGCGGGAAATAGAGTGTGCCCTCAGGAGGGAAATTTTGGATTCTCTTTTCTTCTCTGTGAGATTTGACCCGACCCATATTCGACGTACCCGATAATGGCGGATATCGAAACCCTAGGCATCGTCGATGAGATTCAAGCTCTTGTATCAGACAAACTTCAAGTGGTACATCTATATCTTTTTTCAGTTTTTGTTCCTTTTTTGACTGTTAAATTTACGATAAAGTTTCGATTTTTGTGTTTATAGTTGCATCTATAGTTGACCCATTGTAGGTTATTTTGTATTCCATCAGCTCCTTTAATTTTGATAGTTTTGCTAAAAAGATGCCATTTTTCTTTATTGGTTTACGAAGTTCAGTTTTTTTTTTGTTGTTCAGAATGTTTTTTGCTTGTGTTAATCTCTTCATTCCTACTATTTTCTTGAACTGAGGGTATATCGGACACAATCTCATCTGGCTACACACTACCCTTCCCCGATTCCACTTGAGGGATTACACTTTTTATGTTGTTGTAGAAAGTTTGTTGCTTGCAATCGTTATGTTTATGATTTCCATAGTAATTGACCTATTGAAGGTGATTCTTGATTCCATCAGCTCCTTACTTTTGATAAATTTGTAATAAAAGACTAGGATAATGATGAGCAGAAGATCCAGTTGAACTTCATCTTACTGCTATTTTTTGGTGTAATCAGTTTTACTCTAATGATACGGTGAGTACCGTAGATGTTTTAAAATCCTTTTAGCTAGAGAGAGAAGACACTAGAGCTCTACTGTAAATATGGTTTCAGTAATATCCAAGTGCTGTTTTGATCCCTGATATAATACGAAGTTAATGATGAGAAGCAATCCAGGAACTAATAGCTCTCGAAGATGGAAGCTAGATCAAGAAATGAGTTCAAGACTTCTAACTGTAGAAGAAGAGAGTTTAGAGAAGAAAGAATTTGTATTTCATTCAGTGAATCCCAAGTGTACTTTTTACAGCTTTATTATACAGATTGGAATGGAATAAATGAATCACGAGCTGCTCAACCAGAGTTGTAACTAATTAACTTCACAATCATCTAAGCTTCTATTTTTATTGGCCTGCAGGTTTCGTACAAGTGGCTGAGTCGAAATTTTTTGGTATCATCAAATTCTGCAAAGAGGTGAGCTTTTATTTTTTTTAATTTTTTGTGAAGTATGTTTTGGTTTACTCACCTGGTAATGCCAAGGCTAGTTGGTTGTTTACAACAGGTTGCTTCAGAAATTTGTTGAAAAGCATGGAAATGGTGTTGAAGTGGTCTACAGCTTGTCTGGCTGGTTGAAAGATAGCCCTTCAACCTACCATATAAGACTTGTCACTTCTGCTAACCTCGCAGGTTCGATATCCTTTTAAATGTTATTTTGTTATAAAATAATTTATTTGACCGAACGTAATTCCACGGTACATTACATTATCACTGCTGTATCATCTCTATCCTTAATATCATTTTTGCGTTGGAGTGGGCTGAGCTTGTTGCGCCTTTTTCGATCTTTTATCATTATTTTGTCATTGTCTCACCAATTTAGCACCTTAGTTGGAACCATATGAAGGATGTTCGTGATATATCAACTTCAAAATTTTGTCAAGCCAGTATTGGGGTGCTGATAGCTGAACTAAATTCTCGTTAGTTGCTTCATGGTTTTGCCATATGTCTAAAGACTGGTGTGTATCTTCTTGGTACCACTTCTTTCATACTAAAAATCTCAGTTATTTGAAGTAAAAAAGGTTTTCTTCATAGAGAAACAAAGAGTAACATTACGTACAAGGCTAATATTTCTCTTTAATATAACTGTGTTCTTATTTACATTGGTAAGTTACAGTGAGAATATGTTTGGCGTTCATAAGCTTAGTATTTGGTTCAGCAAATGCTAATGACAATATCAGCATTCTGAAAATCTAGAACTCTTAAAGTTATACAAGCTTTAATAACAACCTTGTTTGGTGTGGTTGAGATTCTTTTCAGATCTAGCAAGTAGTTTAACTCTATTGATCCTGCAAGAAACGAATAACAAAGATGAAGAGTTTGAGACTATTATTAGAAATATTATTGGATTAATGCCCTTGATCCAACTCATGACATCATAAACTGGTTTACTATATCAATTCTGATGAAGAAGTGCATTAACACTTAAGAGGGTTCTTTGTTAAATAAGTTTGTTTGCAGCTTTCCTACCCTCATCTGCTTTTGAGAAGTTGATATTTGTTTGAATCTAGCATGTTAGAAATGCCATTTTACCTTTTCCTTAAGCTTTTTATGTGTGTGGCATTTTGATGGAGATATGCCAGAAGTTAAGTATTATGTATTTCTACATTTATACTTCTTCTTCATGCGCTTTTGTTCTGTGGCAAGTTGTTGCAACTACTTATCAAAGCCCAACCGGCTATTTCTATGCAGAAGCCAAGAAAGAATTTTCAGATGATTGCTCAGTCCAGGTCTATAGCGTGCAAGCTTGCATCCCAAAGGATCCAGTGGCCCTCTGGAATTATGAATTTGTCCAGGCCGAAGAGCTTTTTAGGCAGTCCCTCTCAGCTGATAATTGTTTGCTCGATAATAGGTATAGTACTTGTGTTTCAGAGTCTTCAAGATAAGCCTTCATCTCTACTCTGGAGTGACCTTTTTTTCCCCCACACCTGATATGCGTATCATTATGACTTTTGAGAACCATTTATTATTTCAAAATTGGTTAGGTAATCCATGCTATGAAATACACATGTGCCGGGTGGTATTTGTTCCCTTTGTGATGCTTACTGGTATATTATAGGTTTTGTGGAGTTTCAAATCCTTTCATCACGCGCAACGGTGGAGGAACAATTCCAAGCACTAATGCTGTTTCTCAGGTGAAAAGTGAAGCATCAGGACTTTGTAATAGTAACTCTACTGCTCAAGTGAAACCTGAGCAGAAAAAGGTTCAACTACCAAGTCCTAGTGCCAGTGTACCATCTACACATGTGGTTGATGCCAAAAGTGAGAGTCGTGGCACATCAGGTCCTGGAGAGGGTAGTAAGTTTGTCGCAGATAAACACAAAGTTGCTCAACTTCCACCTGCTAAGAAGGCAGTTCAGTCTGAGAAAAGTTCTAAAAATGGTGGGGCATTGGCTAATATGTGGGGTCGCGTACCTACAAAGCCAAAAGTTGATATTGTTTCTGCTGCTAGCAGTGATGCCACACCAAATCCCGTTGGTTTGTACCTTTCACTGTTTGGTCTTGTGATTGAATTTGCATTATGTTTTGTTTCTTTTGTCTTGGATTATGAATTGCACTTGACTGACCACTTCCTTCCCTTTGGAACATATGTTTACTTAGGTAATGCGGCTCAGATATGTACTCCAGAAGGAATAGAAGATAGGATCAGTGATGACGATGATCAACAAGTCAGCATCAGGAGGACATCAAATGGTGAGGGGAATAGAAAAAGGAGGGTAATTTTTGATTTTTCGGATGAAGAAGATGGATTCAAGGACGCTGTCAACCTAGCCTCACCTGAACCTCCAAAGCAGAAATCTATTTTAGGATCAAAACAAACTCCTAGTACTCCAGAACTGGAAAAGCGGGAAGTCAAGAAAGCAAAGGACAGCAAGAGTCATGAGCAAGAAACAATGGAGGCTGGCAGCAAGAGTCCTGAGCAAGAAACGTTCTCGAAAAAGAGTCCTGAGCAAGAAACATTCTCAAAAAGGAGTCATGAGCAAGAAAGAAAACCTTTACCTACCAGCGAACGTAAGTCTTCTAAGTTGCATTCTTCTGAGATTATTTCAGAACATGCCAGTCCTAAGAATGCCGCTGTAAAGGATGAAGTCACCAATGCTGCTCCAACTTCCCCTAAAAGGAGAAAAGTAATGAAGACACGAATTGATGAACGTGGAAGAGAAGGTATGACTTGTGATCAGATATAATTGTCTAAATTGATTATAACAGTTTGCATGGGTTAGGGTCATGCGATGGAGTGAATAAAGTTAAGCGTGAGTCGACTTTTCCTCACTGTACTTGCGTTATCCTATGATCTAAAATAAAGAAAAAATAAAGGCATCTAATAATGTATTTTTATGCTTCTTCAAGAAATCCTTGTAGTCACAAGCCTCCCGATTGTTGCTTTCAGGCAATTTAGAGCAATCTTAAGAAATCTCCTAGTGAATTAAAGATGAATTCTTACTGAGCTAAGTAGTTGACCCATCCGAGAAGATTTGCATTGAAATTTTGTCAGTTCCTGTTCTACCATTCAATGAATTTTTATTCTTGATCCATATTTACTTATTTTATGATATGGAATTCAATTCCTTTCACATCGATACGAT